CTGCTTGACAAATTTAATCCCTTCTCCAAAGACTGGAGAAGTTAGAGATTCTCAATAAAAGCTACCAGAAGTTCTTGTTTGGTTTTATTTTAATATCTTTTCCCCATATCTCTTTCTTAAAAAGAACCAAATTGTTTTTCTGCAGCTCCTAGACAAATAAAACAGTCAGTTTGCAGCAGACATTCAATGTAGAAAATTTCAGCAAAAACTGTTTACAGTCAGTTAGGTTATAAACACTGAAAACTGGGTCTTGAAATAGAGAGAAGCAGGGAAAATTACTACTACATCTGGCATCCTCTACACACATTTTGGTTTTTGAGCATCCTAGCTGGATCCTGCGTAGTACTTAGAATAAAGGGGGAGTAAACGTGAAACATTCTTGAAAAGTTTTGCAAGTCTGTTTTTTGCTATGGAGATTCTCTAAGGAATCATTGAAAGGACATCAAAGGGATGTAGCCTGCCAGGAAAATTTTGCTTGACAATTCAAGACACTTTCATAACATGCCTCTACACGTTGTTAATGAAAAGAACGACTTAGAGCAGCCCAGGTCTGAGTCCATCAAAAGAGAGTTTTGCCTGCCAGCCTGCCAGTCAATAGGTTAGCACGACCTTCTGCTTCCCATGCAGCTAGTTGTGGAAAAGACAAATAACTTCTCTTCCCCTGAATTCAGAGGTCACAGGGAACAACGCATTTAAAGAAGACAGGGCTCTGCAGCATCCTCATTTTAAATTCCCTCTGAAATTCCTGACGTTATTATTGTATGCAGTGTTGGCTAGGGGCTGGGCTCCATATTCATTACGAATCTATGTGTAGAGGCTTTTCATCAGTGGTGCTAATCCTCCAGCAATTAATGTGTTTATTTTAAAATAGTGGACTTTGACGAAACCATTCCTCTTTTGTATTGCTGGACTTCTTTTAACTTCATGGAAGCTAGTACACAAGCAGCCCAAATCTCTGATTTGTGGGCACAGATTTCTGTGTCCTAAATTCTGCCACTGAACATAAGGTCATCTGTTCACTCTAGGACTGCATGTAAAACAGGCATAATGATAATGTTTCCTGTCCTCTAACTTCTCTCCGTCATGTCTAAATAGGGTGTAAGCTCTTCCGGATAGCAACTTTCTCCTGCTGTGTGAGTATGCAGCACCATGGACTTTTGAATGAGTCAAGGCCTTGGATGCTTCTGCACTATAAACTCTAGTAGGAAGGATCGGGCTTTAATGAGCAGCTGCAGGTCCCTTCCATTTTCTTTGTAAAAGCCTGCCTTTCAGCTCCATTAGGAGAGGTATAACAGATGGGCCATCAGGTGCATTTGTGTTTTAATCTCTCTCTAAAAGGGACATACAGGCCTTGAAATATTCTATTAAGCAAATGACTGCAACTGAGGTGTGAAGCCCCTAATCGGGATATATGCCTCATTCTGTCATTTGTATTTCTCTCAACCCTCTGCCCCCTCCACCCTTTTTTTTTAATTTTCCAGTAGGCATCAGTTAGGTGGGGGCTTTTCATTTTAAACATTGAGATTTTTGCTTGGCCTGCTAAGGCTGTCAGGTCTAGTTTGCTGCTGAACAGTTCATGCTTTGGTGCTGGACAATGCATGAATGTTTAAATTGCTTGAAATGTCTAATTGAATTATCCTCAAATTACAAATCAAAATAGGAAAGGCTGTCTCTGGCTCACAGGCTCGTTCACTTGGATATGTCTGCCATGTTGCTGCTTTTCTTTATATTTTCTTTTTTGCTTCTGACTGGGATTGTTTTAAATGAAACCTTAAATACTGAAAGCATTTCTATTTGCGTGGGGGGGGGAAGCGATGCTGAACTTAAAGATGAATTTATTCACATTCTGGCTCAAAGTTCTTTTTATGCTGCTCAAATCCAATTTCATCAAATTTATATCATTGCATATGAAAACAAAACATCCCACTGCTATTTACAATGAAACTTCATTTTTCTTTCAGCCACAGATATATATATATATATGTGTATATATATATAAATAAAATTCTTTTAGGTAGATGTATAAAAATATCATTTCAGTGTTTTTTATGAGGGCTCGCAGATTAAGGAAATCAACAACCCTGAAAGAAGGTTTGAGGTATCTAGCCAACATTTATAATAAAATCAGCTTTTTACAGCCTTTCCATTTATACGGTGAGATGGAAATTAAAGCCTGTAGGACTTGACTTCATAAATTGTTGAGGAAGGCGAGGTGGGGTCTCCATGTGTCCCAGACACTTGCCCTGTCCAGCCCCATCCCTGAGCAGTAACAGAGGCTGATCAAAAGCTTCGGTCAGTGCAGTGGTATCTATTTTATGGATAGAATTTTTTTTGACATTTTATAATGACATACGACACAGTGCAGTACTGGGCTTGGCCAGCTCCCTCATCCTCGTTCTTTTTGCTGTGACACCTTAACTTGTCCAGTGGCTGTCTGTGCCGGGGGCAAGAATGGGAGGTTGTTCCCACGTGGTGTGCCCTCCCTCTGCCCCCAAATCCCGCTCTGGGCACTGGGCACTTCCCCGAGGCCTTGCCACCCGCCACGCGCGGTGTCTGCTGCTGCCTGGCTGCCCCTTGAGCCCTGCCTTAGCTTCTCATGTAGGAGTCCCGGCCGGGGTTTGCTGCCCTACACAGACCGTCTCCGAAGGAAAGGCTGAGGAGGAAGGAGGCTGAGAGAGCGCAGATGAGAGCACTGTTCGGGAAGTCTAGTTTAATAAGTAAAATTTTGACCCCCTACGCCAAACTGTGCCAAAGTGCAAGGTAGGAGCAACAGGGGAAGTATTTGAATGTGCCAGTGAATGCTTTTATTTTAACTATGACCAAAAATATAACGCGTTCATGTCAAGATTACTTGGTGTTAATATTCCTAGTATTCTTCCTGAATACTACAAAATTAATTAGATTCAGGCCACTTGCAAGGGGAACTTCTTTGTTAGCTTGCAATTAGGTAATTGCTTTCGTGTTGCAAAAAATTGTTGAAGACGTAATAGTTATGAAAAGACCTAAAGGAAATGGATTAGACGCAATCTGTATTAAATGGAAGATCAGCTCATAGGGAATATTTTTGATAGAAAATAAATATCTACCGATATTAAGAATTTTAGCACATTAATAATTTAAGATTAATACTTACTAGCACATCAGCATTTTTTAAAGTGTCTGACTGTTTTTTGGGGAGGCAAAGTTTGCACCTGTATTATCGAGTATGACCAAAACAAAGCATCTTTCAGAAATGGACAAAGGTGTAATTTAAAACTAATTGTACTGGACATCTATTAAAATGATGGAGACCTTGGCAAAGCATGTGTCCAGATGAAACCAGGGAAATGTACTTAATAATTATTGCATATTATAAAAAACACACAACACACTGCATCTCTCTCATTATAAATCTCTTATTCCCTCTCCAAATAATATTAAAACCCTATAATCTGATTCCTTGATTGGTGCCATAACACTGGTTCCCAGTGATGGGCCAGTAGAGGAAGAGCACACCAGGCAGTAAGTATTAGGCTTCTGAGCGTGGTAAGTTACTGTGTTTCATATTATGTAGAAATGTCTTCAGCTATGCTGAAAATAGAATCACAATTTTTAGGTTAGAAGCTGTTTGGCTGTGTTCTAGCCTAATCAGATTTGCACCCAATACTATGTTGCTCACTGAAGAGCACTTGTACTATGTTCATTTTTTAACATATTCATGCTTTGGTTCATGTAGCCATTACGCTGTGACTGAAGCATCCAGGTAGGTAGTCAACTGGCAGTAAAGTCTGAGTTGATATTTTTATTGTTAGCCTGATGTTTAAGTCTGCTGGATATCGTAGCAAATGGTATAATGGTTATTGCTCTAACTGATTAAACAGCCATCTGATAATTTTACATTAGTGCTGGTTTGGAGTTTGTTCATGTTAGGGGATTCTTTAAACTGGGATATGAAATCATTTGCAAAGGACTGAGGAGAAGTATTAAGCTCTAGGAAACAGGTGGACAAATCTTTGTACTATTAGGGAATCTTATCTTGGGAATTAAAGGCAACCAAGATGCCTCCCCATTTAAAATGAAATTCCCGACACAGAGGCCTATGTTAAGCTGACTTCAGTTTAGGCACCCAAGTTACCTGGGGAGTTACTTTAGGCTCCTTCTGAAGTAAGTCACGGAAGAAACACATTGTGAGAGGGCAGTTCAGGTTGCTGAGAGACCTTTGACTTTAGAGAAACCTAATATAGATTGTGTTCCTCACTCATATGTCAGTTAAAGGCCTAAAATTAGGAGCGATGAATCCTGGCGAAGGGATCCAGGCTTAGCTACTATAAATCAGTGTAGATCTATTGAAGGACTAGTCCATCTGTTCTTGTGTAGAAAAGGGAGGATCCAGTCCACATACAGTGTTAAAATACAAAACGGTACACATTCATTCTTGTACAAGAATGAATAAAGTTACTGAGTACTGATAGAGACATCACTCCTAGCAAGCATTATTTTATTAGGGAAACTTGCAGTACCTTTTACATAGCAAAGAGAAAGGGCTTTCTTAAGGTTTGGGGCAGCTGCAGCAATTTACTAGTGTGTGGTTCTATCAGACGTTGACTTTTGCATCCAGTTTTCCTGCAACAAATGACTTCCTCTCCCGTTTGTGCACAGCCCACAGTGCTCTGATGTAAGAGCTGCTGTAGGCAAGGAAGTAGCCGACTGGTGCGATCAGTGCAGAGGCACATATGAGAGACGTTTTGAGAATAAGAAAAGTGTCAACATCTAGCACCAGTATTGCACTGTTTATATCTAGGACTAAAACTACAGTGCTGGACCCTAACCTGGGCACATACAGCCGTGAACAATAACCACAGGTTATTCTGGAACCAGAATACAGAACATTTTTAAACATACAGGGTTAATTTAGGCAATATAAGAAGTGCCTAAATAGGCACTACATTCATTCCATTGTTCAGTGTTTCGCTTCAGCGTATCTGTACTGTCAGCTACACAACCAACAGGACACAGGAAACTTTTTACAAGTACATTTTTATTTAAAATAAAAATTAATTATGGTGCCTTTTTAAAATAGGGTACTGCACAATCCGTATATGCAACACAGTTTTTGGTACGGAACATACTTATTGAGCAATATCCTTAAATACGAAATATACATTAATGGCTTGTTTGAGGAACATGACAACATTAAATCTGATATTTTTTTCTCTTTAGTCATTTAACCACTGATACAGATTTCCTATAAACAATATTTGTTTTCATCTGTACATGTGGTACACAGTTAAGAAGGCAGATCTTAGAATATTTACATTCATGCATTGATTTAAACACACTATTTTGCAGTTTAAAATAATCTATTTTTGTTTGTACAGATGCAGGGAGTATTGTAAATATATATCTATCATAGGCCTGATTCTCCATTGCTTGGCAGCATCTATGGTCATTATCTGGTCAGAGCAGGAGGCCTGCGCTTGCTGCACATGCTATACATGACCATATGGCATGCAAGGATGGACAATTAAGTCTCCGTATAGATATATATCAATATATTTATATCTTATACTTAGTAGAACTCTCCTTTTTCTTTCCATGTCTGTTTTTGCAGCATCTGTCCAAGGTACAGATGGTTTTCTGGTCACACCTCAGTGTTGCGTCTGAGCCAGGAAGGGATGCAAAGCTGTGGCTCCCTGCAAGGCGCTGACACCTCCAGCTCCTCCTGGCATCGCTGGGGGCTGACGAAACAACATTTGCAGCTCAGGCCCTTTAAAGTGCAGTATCTGCTTGTGTCTGCTAGTGGCAATGCAAATTCAATTAAAATGGGTTTTAAGAAGAAAGTTCAGAGTTAATCCTCTCCCTTAGACTGAACAAAGCAGTTTTCTGTTGTATGAGTAGGTCTGGCTATGTTCAGAGGCGTAAGAGCAGAGGAGTTTACATCTGTGTAGAAATAGGCCTCCTTGCATCTGCTGAGGATCTGCCTATTCTGTGAACGGAGGTATGCAGCGCCTTTCTAAGCCTGATATTTTGGAGGCTAAAAATAAACTTGAAATGCTTATAAAGCTGTACTTTGAATTGCCAGTTCCATCTTTAAAGGGCCACTGCTGTAGTGAAACCCTTATCCATCAAGACTATTCCTTTCCACAGAAGCCCCTTTTGTAAAAGCCTTGCAGGTAGTCTGCAGAGTCTTAAAATAACCTTAAACCACACCAGAAAACTTCAGAAATCATTCCCCAAAGGTGCCACCATCCTGACTTCTCTTTGCTGAAGACTTAAATCTGCTTCCGGTATACTTTTTCTAGTGCCTTTCTGAAGACCACCTTAAATTTTGGTGCAATGTAGTCAACTGTATTTAGAAAGCCAGGAATCTACAGGCAAAACAACCTCATACAGAATTTCCTCTCTCTTCCTACTGTATAGCTATGCAAGTGCTGAGAGCAAAGACTCTGGAAAAGCAGAGAGGAGGAGCTCCTAGCCTGTGTGCCGCTGTTCTCATGCGGCCAATGGAGAATGAAAAGACATTGAGGGGAGTGTCTGTTTATGAGATATTTTGAGCCGCACATTTAGTTAAAATATTATGGTGATTGTGATTTTAATGTGCCCAACCATTTTTTTTTTTTTAATATGAGGATGTGGAATATAATGATAGAGCAGTGCCTCCTATGTATACAAGACACATCCATACCTCTTAAAATACTGTCACAGGGCTGGTATGTATTTTTATCATGATTATACAGATGGGCAAATTGAGGCACAGAAAGGCAAAATTACTTGCTAGTAAACAGCTGATCAACAGCAGAGTTGAAAATAAATCCCACCTCTGTGTGGGTGTCCCTTGAAATGTCCTGCTGCCCTGCTCTGTATGAAGATTTGAACATTTATGTTCCACTGCGAAGATCTTTAGGGGTCCGGGGTAGATTTGCTTGTGAGTGATGCCATGCGTCAGGATTTTTCTCTCAGTGAAGACATTTTACCATTGACAATGCTGAAGATAAGAGTGTCCCGTGACCTTCTCTTTAGACTTTTTTTGCAAAAAACAGACACAATTTAATGGACTTATTGAGCTACAAATCCCTTTTGTTATTTTGGCCTTATAGAACATGCCTTTAAAGCTTTGTTAGAAAATAAATAAAATAAACAACCTTTAGAAAAAAGTGCTAATCCTGAGCCTGTATCATGCTAAACTCATCTGCACTCATACTTTATACTCTCAGCTAAACATGCAACCAGTCTCAAACTTTGCCACATTTATGCACAAACAACTGAAGTAAAAAAAGAAAGGCAAATATAGGTAGGTAACGACACCAAAATAAATGTTATAGCTTAAAAAATATTCTAGAAATATACTTGAAATATTTCTATTATAATATTTAGGGGCTAAGTGCCTTAGGCAATCAACATGTACAATGTAAAATGAGTCAAAATGTAAATTCTGTTATTTTAATCCCACTTTGGATCTAAGTACATATCACTGTATCTTGTGCAAGCACACAATATAACTATGGCAGGGAACGATCATACTTTTGGGCAAAGGGTTACTTGTTCCCTTTCACTGTTATCATTGCATTCACTTCTCAGCAAAGTCTAGACTTTTAAAAAATAATTTTATGTAGCTTAATTTCTACATAGTGATGACAGGCTAAAAGGCTAAATGATTAACTCCATAAATTTCTCAACAGTAGTATGTAGCAGCATTTCATTTTATCATTGAAAAGATACTTATATTTACATATACCTTATTGTTCTTTAGGTAATAGAAAACTAGAGATGGGCCTGAGCTGAAACTGCTGATTTGAACATCCCAGAGCTTTTTTGGGGGGAAAGCCTGCAGAACATCATCTTCTATTAGCAGGCCAAACTCTAAATCCCAGAGACAGTCCAACTGCAGTCAGGAGTGGGTTCAAAATCAAGATCTAATTTTTGCAGTTCAGGCACATCCTTATATAAAACTGAAAGTATCTATATTTTGCAGTACTGACAGACTCGAAGGCTGGAGTGCAGTCACTTTACAGAGCGAGACTGGGCTGGATTGCGTGAGTTACTCACAGACACAGAGACTGAGTGTTATTGAAGCTTGATGTCCAGACAAGAAGCCAGTGTGGAAATTTGTCTTTCACTTCGTTGCTGCTTTCAGCACAGAGGTAAATGGAGACATACACATGGAGGTGTGACACAAAGTAAATTTTTCAGAAAGTAAGGAAACACTAGATAGAGTCTGATGACTGGCCTTTATCCTAGGGGTTACGTACTGAGTCTAACCTGAGATCCTAAGTGAAATGAATTTGGGTGGATTCAGCTTTGCTTTAAGTCATCTGCAATCCACATCACGAAAAGTACAACATTAAGCTATTATGTTGAATTTGGCACACTTGGCAGGCTCTGTTCAGAGACTGAGTTAACACGGGCACATCCGACTTACCAGTTCCTCATAAATGGTCCTCTAAGCCAGACTTAACGATGTCCTTGGTGGGTCAGTTCCAGAGACTCAGCGCTTTCAGGAAACAACACTGATCAGTGAATGCAGAGGACTTCTTTTTCACAATGCTGCTAGTCCTTTCAACACAATCCTGCCCAAATAGTCACTTCAAAATGTAAACAAAATCTTTCCTGTAGGGGTCCCTGGCAAATCAGTGTGATGCAAACACAGAGAAATGTGTAGAATTTCACAAAGAAAAAACTTGTTAAAGATAAAAAATAAAATGTGATGCAAAAAGGAGGCTGATTATGAAGTAATAATGTTCAAAGCACCTCTTAATTATCTCTTTCATTAGCAATGCTAATTGCTAAGATCACATATCTTGATTTCTTTTGCCTCGAAAGTCTTCAGCCATGGAAATTGCATAGTCACGAGACTGCAGATGAGTTTCCTGGGTTAAGTCACAAGTTCATGCATTTTTTGGTTGCTTGATGGCTTAACAGAAACCTTCTTCCCTTTTTTAATAACAAAATAATAAGAATGATAAGAATGAATGAACTAAGCATACCAAGCTGCTAGCTTGTAAGTGACAACACTGCACAGGCTGGAGAAGCATGTAGGTGACAACTTTCAGCCTTGAACCTCAGACCCATTATAATGAGTTGCTGCCACTCTGTCAGATCACCTTCCCATCAAAAGATGCTAATTAAGCAGCTTTTGCTTACTCAGTCCAAAATAAAAAGTGGGAGGAGGAGAAGAAGAAGTGGGAGTCATCGTGACGTTGCTTTCAAGAGATGCAGCATGCGATGCTTATGCCTTTGTGAGGCCTTTTCTCTGGGTAGCCCACATGGGCAAGTTTATCCTCCCTTGGACAAGCAGCAGGCCTGAAGAGCAGCTTGCTTTTCTCTTCTGAATCACTGATGCAGGTGCTATTTCTGAAATGAAGTCCTTGGCCACAGAGCGCGTTTCGTTTCCTTAGTTCACCCACCTTGCATACTTTATGTGTGTGCTTTTAAAGTTTAACACCTCCTGTGTCTTGAACAGCTTTCAGGAATTATACAACTGCATTGTTATCAACTGTTTTGTTGTTCTGGGAGGAGGTCATTGCATATTCAGCTCGACTGGTTCCGTTCTCCTCTTTTCTCAGTGGTTTCCTTGGATGACCACAGGTACAGGTGGGGTGGGGGAGAAGAAAGGACAGAAATAAAAAACTTTGTTTTAGCAATATAAATTAAAAACAAGGACATTTAAGATCTGTTCTTACATTGAAACTATCTTTCTGAGCACAGTTCAAATCAGGAGTTAAATTTTTTCAAGCTTAATGATGTGCCTAGAGCATGGAGGTTCTGGAACTGAGGCCACGTCATAGTCTGTTGGTTTCTCCATGCCAGTCAGAGCAGCAGAATGTGTTTTGAGTTAGATGAAGGTTGCTGGAATGGGAGCTCTGTTACCAGGAGGCTGGGTACAGTCCCAGCTCTACCAGCACCTCCATATCAGGCATGGAGGGAGCCTCCTGAGGCTTAGACCCTGTCTTTGGGTTGTCCTAAGCCTCTCTCTTCAAAGTGCCAAGTAATATGAACTGCAATGAGGGTGAATCATGTCCACTGAGGACCCAACTCACATCATAAAACCACCATGTTCAGTCACTAGGAGCAGGGCTCATCTGATCAAATAGAGATATGTACAGCTGTGAGGACCACCCCAAGCTCCCTTTACAGTTAGTGGAAAGAAACAAGTACTTTTAAAAGTTGGTTCAGATCAACTTAAAATTGATACTTAAAATAAATCAGATGCATTGTGTCCAAGGTATTCCTATTTCTTTTTATCGTCCTTAAAGGAAGCCTAGTTTACCAGCTCAGACATAAAAGTCCATGTTGTATATGTTTGAGTTAGGTAAAACAATATGACTGAAAACACTATGCCTGCTGCGATCTACTGGTCTCTCCATGGCAATCATGCAAGCATCCCCCTTTTTTTCAATTAGTGGCCTCTGTCACCATTTGATGACGCAGTCCAGACCCTTCAACAGTTACTGTGAGGCAATTCAGGAAATGCCCAGCAAGTTCGGAAAGCTAACAAGAATCTGCACATCACTGAGTAAAGACATCTCATTTAATATTTTAAAGTGACTCTGAACAGAGGGACCTGAGCACAAATCCCATAACAGACCATGTTACATCACTGAAGTGTATCCTCCACAACTTCTCTCCTCAAAAGTGACGTGACCTTTATTTGAAGCTGAAGCTTTGTATATAGTAATAGCAAAAAACTTTGTGCTATCTGTACAGATATTTCGTATAGATGTTGGACCCAGATATCAGTGCCTTGAGTTTAAGGTGGTTCTAAGGGCAAAAAGAGGACTAGATAAACAAATGTAATACAATAGTCAATCTGGGCTATTGTTCTTAACATAATTTAATAAAAAAAATAGCAATTAATACAAAAATAGTTAATGACATTTAATTTCAGCCGAGAAAAGCATTAGTAAAAGATTCTGATTATAAGAAGATAAATTTGTTTTGATTATAAACACAAAGAGAATACTTCTCATTGTGACATCTTACATCCCTCTTCAGCTGATAAGACTTAAGGCTTGTTAATATTAACTGGGATTCCAGCTGTTAGAGAATGGAAATAGAATTGGAAGGGAAGACTAAAAAGCTTTGTTGAACCCTTTTTGAGCAGTTGACATGCTGTGCCTGTCTGTATCTGACATAACTTCCTGCAGCTCTGTCTTTCATGACATTATAAAGCATCCATCCCCCACATCTCTGACAAGATGAATGGAGAATCTGATGGCAACATTTCTTGTCCCATTTCTTCCTAGAGAAAAAAATGTTGCGACTGTCTTTAAACGTCTTATTGTTTTCAAAATCCGATGAATGGTCAAAAAATGAGAATTTTTTGGTGGCTTCTAGTGTCTATCTTTTCTTTCTCCTGTTTAACCTTTCTTTCAATATTTTGATGTTTAATGTCTTTCTGCTTCTCTCCAGCTCCATTTTCTCTCCCTGTCTAGCCTTCCTCTTCTTTCTTCACTTAAAATAAATACCTTCATCTCACTTTTATTTATATTTTTCTTTTTTTCTAGAAATGATTTCAAGAATAACTTCTTTGTTCCTCCTGAAACTCTACCTTTTTTCCTATCTTCTCCCTTTCTGCTTTGGTTTCTCTTCCCTAAGAGCATGTTTGCTCTTTTCACATCCCTAGTTTATCTCCCAGCATGAAGGCAATGTGCCATCTCATAGAGTGGTTCAGAGACGCCCTTACACTGGTGAGATCTTTCTGGTGACACTGCTGGAGAAGTAGCCAGTGATATTCTGCAACTGGTACTAGATATGCATTGAAAGTGTATTTTTTTCAGAGCTTGAAAATAGTGGAATGGAGATTTTATCAGGGTTCTGCTGGCTCTCTGCATCCCTGAGATTCTCTTCTGTCTCATCAGCTGCTCAGGGTTAGCATTAGTAAAACAGAGCCACCACTCTCTTGGGTCTCAGGGAAATGCCAGTTTGAGGCATTTTTTAAATTCATTTTCACAGACACTAATGTTCAGGCTTGGGGAATGCTCCATTTAACTCCTTCACTCAGTTTATTTCCAAATGGATGACAGACATGGATTTTGGGTCAAACTTGCCTCTGTGTTGCACCATTTAAATCACTGGCTCGAGGGAAGTTTATGCACTTATCACAAAGATTAAGATTGGCCTGTGTATTTATATATGCAAAGTCCTTTTATTCTCTTGAAATTTTTAAATTGTCCTTTAGTGTTAGGGCACGAGCTCTTTTTATGTCACTAGGTCTGTCTGTCACTAGCTCTTTTTTCTCTCAAATTTTAACTTTGTTGCGATCCAAGTATAGAAGTTTTCCCCTTACACACCAAGGGGAACCCTTTTATCCCATTTTGTGCCTGATAAGCTAGTGCATGATCTTCCTGCATGTAACACCCTAAGCCCCCTTTCAAATGACGTAGTGCAGTCCCATATTCATGCATTTCCATTCCAGTGTTATTCTTCATTGATAAGATGGATGTTTCAAATTAGTGAGGAAATAAGCAGGGAATAAACATTCATATCTGTGACATACTCACTTGGTGGTAGGCGAAACAGGCTGTTCACTAACAAGTGGTTTGCATTGCTTTGCAGTATGATTTACTACACATTGTGCTTTGATGTTTAGCAAACAAATTGGCGCATTCTTCATGCAAAACATCTGCAAATGAAAGGTACATGCAACTCTGCATAACGTAGTACACGCCTGAAATGATGTTTCAGAGTCCGTAATGACCTCTCCACCATGTATACATTAATTTGCATGTATCCTATAATCAAGAAAGCGTCAAAGAGCCATTTAATAGTGTACCACACATGTTAAACTTCAATTTCAGATCAAGTTCTGATCATGTTACATGATAAATCTTAATTATCAAAGAAGTTCTTATTGATTCTGTACCAGCTCTCTGCAGAGTCCTATGTAAAGGTCCATGTAACAACGCACATCAAATAGAATTGGTACGTCCTGCCTTTAGAAAATTTCTTAAGCAAAAAGGAAGTTTTTGGGCCCTTGACCACATCTAGTCACGAAAATCAGTTAGCAAGTTTGACAAAGTCCTCCCTGTCAGCTTTTGCTATTGGTGTAAATTTGGCATAGCCCTACTGGCTGTAATGCAGTTCTGCTGGTAGAGTACAAAGAGAGGGTATCAACTGATTTCTCTCACGATTACACACTTTAAAAAAAAAACAGAAAACTCTTTATATGGCTTTCCAAACAAAATCAAACAAAAACTGAGAGGACTGTTCATTTAATCAGGACATTATTATGCTTTGTTACTCATAGGGTTATTAAAGCTATGAGCAGGAGACCAGCAAGAAATGGGAAAAAAAGTTTGTTCAGAATAGTAAATGGTAAGAGAGTTTAAAAGACACAACCTAACCCCATGCAACGTTCATATTCTTCAAGGTGCTTTGAAGAAATGAGTTAGAATCAAAATTTGATTTCATAAGACGAGCCTGAGCATCGCGAAGCCCGTTTCCTAAGCTCCTGCCTCTGTAGCAGTGTCACTGCTCAGCATCATGCCCAAGGCCAGCAGCCAGCAAGGGTGCTTCAGCAAGGCTGAAGGTGGGACCCAGGGAAACCCAGCTGGGGAAGAGGGAGTGACCTTGTGCCGGCAGCCGAGAAATGTGGGGATCTTAAGTTCATCTCCTTCTGGGGCTCGGATACCTCACTCAGCATTGCCAGGAGATGCCTGCCTCCACTTGCTATTTGCTGCCCTGAGCTTTCTTCTGAAGGAAATGCCTATCTCATTTCTTACAAAATAGGAATAGAGAGTGTCATTTTTCTTTCAAAAAGCAGTGAGAGGAGAAAATGCCTCTCTGTTCTCCCTTTCATCAGCCCAGGGTTCAGAAGACTGCAGCTCAGCTCTGTTCTTTGCTGAACAGTGGATACAAAATTGTAAATTGTGCTTAAAAGGTATCTGCAAAATTTAAAAAACAGACTTGATGTTATTTTAAGTGTATTAGTATCAACTGCTAGTGGTTTCTTTGACATTGAAAGCTACAAGGCACCTTTCTTTTGCAAATTTTACAGAGTGAGGGAGGCAAAGAATTGAGCATTCCCTGCAGTGATAGAAAGCCGGGACGCAGCAGAGCCATGTCAGGACTAACTGTGACATCTGTGAGCTCAAGGCCACCTGCCTTCAGTGAAGGAGGAAGATGGAGTGTAATAAGTAAGCAGGTGGTCCGATGAATGAAAAATCCTTCTGATGTTTCGATTCTTTCAGTGAAGGTGTTTTTAGTAACATCCAAAGAACTTATCTATCCTTCAAAGCAGTTTTGCCTTGAGGTAGCTGTTACTATGAACAAAGTTACTACCAATTTCTGCTAATGTAAATGCAGACAGCCTCGCTTTTGTATTTCACAGCACAAGTCTGTGCTATCAGAAAAGATAAATAAGAGAGCTGTTCTGCTGCCAAGCTTGTTCATAAGCTGAAAGCTGAAGCCTTGGTTCATGTGCCTCTCCTGTGTTTGCAGTGACATGATTTTTCTTTGAAGAACATGCTGCCGACTGCCAGTCAGCATCTATGCATGTTACCCGCCACTCACTGAGACAGAGTGGCAGCAGGGAAGTGGCAGTATCAGGAAGCTGAAGAAGTGTCACTCAA